TATGAGTGCATAAGAGAGAATTACCTCAGGGTTAGACTCTTCCAGGAAAGGACAGGTGTACTGAGAATTGCCTTCCATGCAAAGACCAGTGAAGACAATGGCTGGGAGGGGCACATCTAGTGCAAGAGCACTATGGTGGGGGCAAGCTTAGCATTTCCAAAAGGAGAAGGAAGCTCAAACTGAAGGAAGTTCAGTGACCAAGAGCAAGAAGGGTCAGAAGTAGGTAGAGTCCTCAAGGTGCCAGTTTTGTCAGCCATGGACAAAGACTGAACTTGATTACAGGCAAGCTGGGTGGGCACACTAGCTTACGCCTGGAATCCCAACAGTTTGGGAGCAAGAGGAGAGAGGGTCGTTTGAGGCCAGCCTGGACAACATAGTGAGACTTCATCTCCACCAAAAATGAAAAATAAAAAAAATTAAGTCAGGAACAGTTGGATGACTCTAGAAGGTTTTCAGCCAAGAAATGGTATGATTTTATTCACGACTTCAAAAGATCACTCTGGATATTGGGTGAAGAAGTGTAGGGTCCAGCCCAACAGGGTTCTGTGAGCCCCTCTCTGCTGGTGTGGAGACAAGAAATTGTAGAAATAAAAGACACAGAGATAGAGAAAAGAGAATTTGGGCCCCGGGGGTCCACTGCCAACCAAAGGGCGGAGTCCAGCGGGTGGCCCTGAGTGTCTGGACGCTCTCACTTTTATTGAGTCGCAAGTCTAGGGGCAGGGTAGGTAGGGCATAGGTAGGGTGTGGCTTTGGTATTCAGCGACTGGGGGCAGGGTAAAATAGAGCATGGCAGTGATAGGGTCAAGCACATCACTTGTCATACAGGTAGGGGCTCAGGAATTAGCCGAGATGAGGTAAGGAGCATAATGTGTCAGTGCTTTACCATACTTGTTATGAAAGAACAAAGACATTAAGATTTATATTACTCTTACTGATTATCTTTTCTAAGAAAAAAAGGAACCAGGTGCAGATGTGAAACATGAGAGTGGAAAGTGACCTCTGAAGCACAGCATCACATAAAAACAATGAAGCCCCGGGATGTCTGCGGGCTTACCTGACAGCCATCAGACCTTGCCACAAGAGCTTGGAGAAGCGGAGTTTTCTCCTAACTCCTCCGGGGAGGCAGACGTCTCAGCCATCTTGGACGTCTCCTTCCCTAGCTGGCTAAACAGTGGGCATTTTCCCAGCGCTGGCTCCACCGCACAGCTGAGGCGCCCCCCTAGCAGCCCTTACACAGCTGGCCATGACAGAGGGCTTAAAGCGTCTTGCCTTAGGGTCATTTATTTCACAGTGTCACCCCAGCCTCACACTTTCAACTTGAGAGGCATTAGTAAAGAAATTAAGATCACTTATGAATAACTAATAACTACTATGATTATATTTCTAGTTACTTTCTTCTTCATTATTTATATGGAAACAGGCTGAGGCTTCTGGCTTCTGACTCGGCACTTATGAGATCTCCCCCCTACAAAAAAGAGCATGTCAGGAGCAAGAATAGGTGCAGGGGAGGTAAGGGGTTGAGGAGGGGGTGATGGGGCTGGGACCAGGTGCCACGGGGGAAAGGGGGACAGGATGCATTTGGGGCATGAGTCATAAGCAGAATGAACAAACTTGCTGATGAAGTGCAGGGAGCAAGGACGGAGAAAAACAAACTCAAGCATAACACTTCTGGGATTCCTAAGAATAATGATTTTGTCTGGTGAGTGTTCTTGGACAAATAGCATAACATGTTTGTGCACCTATTATAATATAAACCATGGTGTAAAAATTGTTTCTGATGATAATAATTGTACTTTCCATTTATTAAGTACATGCTATGTACTTAATACTGATCCTTTTCTTCCTTATTGTATGTAGAGGGGATAAAAATGTGTACGTTGAATTAAATACTGTTCCTTTCATCTCACTTATTAAATTACCAAATAACCCATGTTTTCCATATGGCCTTTGCCCCTTGAGGACTGCATTGCCAAGGAAACAGATTGTTAAGCACAGGCTCTGCAGCTAAATCCTATTAAATGTGTCATAATTCAAACAAAATACACAAAGCCAACCAGCACTTACATTTGGAATATTAGCGTTCAAGTGTCCCCCTCCTAATGCCTAACTATATACTTAATAAGGTTCGATGTTTAGATGCCTGTCTAATTCTACCCAGAGCCCTGGACTTGTACATTCCTGCCCCAAATCCCTGATCTGAATGTCAGAATTTTTAATTAACCTCCCCAAATGGTATTTTCACATCATAAACTCTATGCATGCTGCTAGCTTCAAACAGTAGACAAAAAGTGATTTTTTTCTTTTCCTCAGTCAGATTTTTCCTTTGTAAAACACTAAGCAGAATGGCTTCAATACCTGGATAGGCTTAAAGAAAGCTGGAGAAAACCCCGAACTGGAGATTTCAAAAGCAAAAGGAATTAGAGACTAACTAGTTCAAATCTGCTTTACACACAAGGAAGCTGAGGTTCAGCAAGATTGTGATTTATGTCTGCAGGGTTGCAGAGCACACTTATGGACAGTACTAGGGGCCATGCCTACCTCCCCTGGCTGGTGATGCCTTCCTTTGTCTTAGGGTTCTTCCTTTTACCACGCTCCTCCTAAGAGTCATCCTCACTGCCTCTTTAATATAAATTCTTCACATCCTTCTCCCTCACCTACATCCTTTGCTCCCCAGTTTTCCCTTCTGGCCCTCATGGCCTTAGCTCTATCCTTCTTCTGCTCACTTCCTAAATGCGGCTTATTCCTCCAAGTCCCACTGCTGATCTTATCATTCGCCCCCCTCACCACTACTCAGGGTCAGCCTCATCTAGCTCTTTACAGGACCTATCAATTCACCATCCAAATGCGTTTTGCACAGCATGTTGTTTTTTCAATTCATTGCCCATGGCTTTTGCTAGAAGGCTGTCCTCACTTGACCCTTGTCATTTCATTAAAAAATATCCAGTGAAGTGAGAGAAAAGTGTAATTGAAACCAATGTACCACAAATAAACTCTTCCTGTTTAGGAAAATTCACTGCTAAGCTTATTGAATGTGGAAGGTGGGTCCTAGTGGGCATGAGATGCATGGAGCCAAATAGACACGTTCCTCTGAAAAGAAATGAACGTCACTTTAGCAGTGGGAGCAAATAGGAAGGCAAAAGGGAAGAACAAGCATGTGAAAGAATACAGCATCAAGCTCAAACCCAACTTGGCAGAAATAGACAAGACTTATTATTATTATTTTTTTGTCTCGAGACAGAGTCTGGCTCTGTCACCCAGGCTGGAGTGCAGTGTCACATTCTTGGCTCACCACAACCTCCGCTTCCCAGGTTCAAGCAATTCTCCTGCCTCAGCCTCCCAAGTAGCTGGAACTACAGGCGGGTGGCACCACACCCAGCTAGTTTTTTTTTGTATTTTTGGTAGAGACGGGGTTTCACCGTGTTATCCAGGATGGTCTCGATGTCCTGACCTTGTGATCCACCAGCCTTGGCCTCCCAAAGTGCTGGGATTATAGGTGTGAGCCACCATGCCGAAATGGACAGGACTTTTAAAGAACAAGAAAAACATAATATTCAAATTTAAGTTTGGCTCCCTTATGTTGCAGTCAGAGTTTAGCTGGCTGGTATCCCTATGTCTCCCACTAAAGCTACTCAGTGATTTACATACAAGTCACCTTAGGAAAAACAAGTCGAAACAGCCTCTGTCCTGGATTTAGGTTAACACTAAGGAAAAAGACCTCAAGATGCAGAATGCAGAACTAAGATTCACTGAAGCTGGAAATTGAACCAAAGATGATTGGAAGAAAGGTACTCCCTGAAGGATTTGAATAAATCTTGGGGAGAATATTGAGCTTTGCTCTGGAATTACAATGGGGATTTAAGGCAAGTTTTTCTAGATATGAAGGGGCATAGGTCCTAAACATATGACGAGCATTGAGGCTAGAGGGTAAAGAGGAAGTAATTCTGCTTCTCTGGCAGCTCTTAGTACATCAAGACAGCTAGGTATGGAAATCACTAAGTTACAAGGCATAAACTGGTTAAAGATAGGAGCCACTCACTCCTGTTCACTCTCAGTAGAGCACTTCATATACTTTATATGGTAAACACAAGAGGGGGTGATTTACAGCAATGCTAGACCACCTTCGGTTGACCAGTGTCAGGTAATCTGTTGGGAAGAGACTGAATTTTTCTTAGGCCACTGAATTAGCTACTTGAGTAGAAATAGCTACTTCTTATTTAGTTGTATTCTTTTATTTAACAAATATCTATTGAGCATCACTCTTTGCCCAGTGTTGTGCCAAGTGCTAAGAGTACACTTGTGTGTACACCAACACTGAGACGTGACTGTGCCATTATGGAACGTGAAGTCCAGAGGATGAGGGGGCATCAATCAAAGAATCAAAGGGATGTCATATTTAACTATGACAGAGTTGTGAAGGAGAGGTACATGGCACCAAGAGAGCTTATAACAAGGAGAACTAACCTAGCTAAGGTGTCGAGATGACATCCTTCAACAATAGGTATGAGGTAACCAGGCAAAGGGAAATGATTGAGGGCTTGGCTTGTGCACGAGTCCTGAAGCATCCGTGAACTGAACCTGAGCTCCTACAGGCCAGCGCTATAGGAGTGGGTTGAGCAGGGAGGGGGCTCATGGTACTACACACAGTCAGAGAGGTACACAGGAGCCAGGACACAGGCCTTGTAAGAGCCATCCATCTTTTTCATAAAAAAAATGAGAAGCCATTTGGGTACCTCAAGCAAAATATGATAATATTTATATTGAAAAATAACTCTGGCTATAGAAGAGAAATGGGTGCAGGGTAATAGTTACCAGACAGATGCGGACGTTTTCAGAAGTTTATGACAACTTAAAACTAAGTTGATGTCAGTAGAAATGAGAAGAACTAGATTTGATAGATATTCAGAAGATAAATTCAGTATGATGTGGTGACAGATTAGATTCTTAGTTTGGGTTTACCTGGAAACCAGCCCTGAGGCAGATTCAAGCTGTTTATTTGGAATTTACAGGGCACATTGCTATGGGAGTGGGGAAATAGGGCAAAGAAAGGAAGACAGCCAATGAAAAGAGATGAGAAACCCTCCAGCATGGCAAGCACCCAGAGCTTAGCTCGGTTTGGGAGCAATGCACAGAACACCCATCTCAGAATTACCCCACCCGAGGGGCAAAAAACCTGAGCTATTGATATGCGAGATCCCATCAGTCATTGGTTGAGGGCTGAGGTGGGGGACTTTAATTGCCTGGCACTTCCAGCTGGCCTGCTATGGATTTGGAAAAAGCCTGCTGGAACAGAGATGAAATTTTGGCTGTTGGAAGTGATCTGGAGCTCACTGCCATGGTAGGCTCCTAGGGATGTGGGTAGAACACAAACTGTATCTGTACACGGGGTGTTACTTCTCCAGGGTCCTAGTGTCCTGGCCACACATGAGTCATCTAGAGCCACTCTGTCCAATAGAAATATGCTGCAAGCCATGTATATAAATTTAAAATTTCTGGTAGCCACATTCAAAAAAGTACTAAGACAAGAAAGCCCATGTGGGCACAGCCCTGAAGGCCAACCCTTTTGGAGGTGCTTCTCATGCAAAAGGAATCGTAGTGAAAAACGTAGGAGTTGAAGCCAAGCAGTCAAATTCTGCCATTAGGAAGTGTGTCAGGGTGCAGTGATCAAGAATGGCAAAAAAATCACAGCCTTTGTACTCAGTGATGGTTGCTTGAACTTTATTGAGGAAAACGATGAAGTCCTGGTTGCTGGATTTGGTCGCAAAGATCATGCTGTTGGTGATATTCCTGGAGTCTGCTTTAAGGTTGTCAAAGTAGCCAGTGTCTCTCTTCTGGCCCTATACAAAGGCAAGAAGGAAAGACCAAGATCATAAATTTTAATGGTGAAAACACTGTAGTAATAAATTTTCACAAGCCAAAAAAATGTACTAAGAAACAGGAGAAATTAATTTTCACACCGTATTTAACGCAGCATCTTCAAAATGTTAACATTCCACCATGTAGCCAATACCAAGTCTTTGAAATCCAGTGTGTATTTGACTCCTATAGCGTCTCAATTTGGACTAGCTACATTCCAGGTGCTCTGGAACCACAGGTGTCTTGTGCTTGCCATATTGGAAAGCACAGCTCCAGAGTTATCTTGTGGTCTAGCCCAGACCAGAAGGCTGCTCCAGGAATGTTGATTCAGACTTTGATACATTTGCTGTAGCTTCTGTTTACTGAACCAGCAAAGAAGAGACGTAAACGACACATATGTTTTCAAAGATGTAAGTGAGTTGAGTTGGGTCTCCGTTGTTCCTCTTTGTTCCTTACAGAACCTAAAGGCAGTCTATGGAGGAGTCATGGAAGCAAGTGTGGTGGGGGAGAGGTGAGAAGCAAGCAAGCAGGAATCTGTGCCTCTTACCCCCTTAACTGTCAGAGCAGTTTCACTTCCATGTGTGATAGGCAGGCCGAGGCATGGTGGCTTATGCTTGTAATCCTAGCACTTTGGAAGTCTCAGTTGGGAGGATAACTTGGAGCCAGGAGTTTGAGACCAGCCTTGGCAACATAGCAGGACCTTGTCTTTATTTATAAAATGAAATCTAATATAATAACCATATGTGGCAGACAATGAGTTTCCCATTGTCATTCTCTTCCTTGTTAGCTGGATCTGCCTCTCACAGTGGAGGTGAAAATGCCAGTTGCCTGTTTTCTCAATTTTTCTTGCAGTTAGCATATGGGCTTAATATGTCCAATGGGTCATATAGCTAGTGATGAGAGCAGACTGGATTTTCTGTCTTCAGTCTTTCCTACTATACCATATTGCACTTCCAGGAGATTCTACATGTGGAAAGGTCCATTCTAAGTTAAGAACGAATAGAATTGAGGGACCCCATAGTGTAAAAGGGTGTGAGAAAGGGGAATGGGAGGGGATTAAAGAATAGAAAGATGTGTGTTTGTGATATGTTAGGACACTTTCCAGTGAAAGTTATAGAACTCCTTCTAAGCTTCCTCAATCACACTGGGGAATTTAACTATGAAAGGTGGAAGCGTTTAATGGAAACCATGGAAACATCCAGGTCTCCAGAACAAACATCCAGGGATTCTCATGCCCTCACAACATGCAACTGACTTTCATTGCTCTTCCGTTCTGGTCATTGATTTTGTTCTCCTCTCTTGTTGCAGTCAAGCTTTCTCTGCTTCCGAGGGCAAATGGCGGAACACAACACCCACATGTGCTCTCTTCCAGAGGGCAGGCGGACAGCCTCTGGTGTGGCTTGGTCCTAATCCCAAGGGAATTACTGAAGGGCCAGATCTGATTAACTGAGTTTCTGCTGGAAAGTCAACAGTGTCCTGTTTCCATGGTAATCCCAAGACAGAGGGGAAAGCTATTTCTCAAAATGAAGAGATGTTTCAGAAGGGGCCTGTATAGTTTTCTAGGTCTGTCCTAACACATAGCTGCAAACTTGATGGCTTAAAACAATAGAATTTTGTTATCTCATGGTTCTGCAGGCCAGAAATCTGAAATCAAGGCATTGGCAGGGTCACACTCCCCCAAAAGGCTGTGGGGAGGACTCTTCTTTTCCTCTTACAGCTTCCAGTGGCTTCTGGTGTTCCTTGGCTTATGGCAACGTAATTCTAATCTCTGACTCTGTCTTCACATGGCTTCTTCCCTGTTTCTCTTCCATGTCCAGGTCTCAAATTTCCCTCTTATTTATGAAGACACCAGTCACTGGATTTAGGGACTACCCTAAATCCAGATGATCTCATTTCAAGCAAGGTCTTTAACTTAGCTACTGCTACAAAGATTTTATTTCCAAATAAGGTCACATTCACAGGTATTGGGAATAGGATTTGGGCATATCTTTTTGGGACCACTATTCAATTCACTGAGACCAGGTGTGGTGGCTCACTCCTGTAATCCCAGCACTTTTGGCTAATATGGATTAATATATATTTATAACCGATTGAAGAGTTCTAGCAAAATGCTTTTTTTTTAAAATGGTGTTATACTGCATGTGGCCTTCTTCTTCTCCTTCTCTTCTTCTTCTTCCTCTTCCTTCTCCTCTTCTTCTTCTTCTTCTCCTTCTTCTTCCTTCTTCTCCTTCTTCTTCTTCTTCCTCTTCCTTCTCCTCCTCCTCCTCCTCTTCTTCTTCTTCTTCTTCTTCCTCCTCCTCCTCCTCCTCTTCTTCTTTCTTCTTCTTCTTCTTTCTTCTTCTTCTTCTTCTTCTTCTTCTTCTTCTTCTTCTTCTTCTTCTTCTTCTTCTTCTTTCTTCTTTCTTCTTTCTTCTTTCTTCTTCTTCTTTCTTCTGCTTTCTTCTTCTTCTTCTTTTTTTGGTGAGATGGAGTTTCACTCTTGTTATCCAGGCTGGAGTGCAGTGGTGTGATCTCGGCTCACTGCAACCTCCACCTCCTGGGTTCAAGCAATTCTCCTGCCTTAGCC